GAACTTTGCAGATGTGATTAAAGATCTTGACATGGTGAGATTATCCTGGATTATCTGGATGGCCATAAATGCAATCACAAGTGTTTTTACGAGACAGTGACAAAGAGAGATTTGATACAGAAGAGGAAAACAATGAGACCAGTGAAAAAGGATGCTACCCTGTGGGCTTCAAAGGTGGACGAAGGCGCTAGGAGCCCAGGAATGCAGCTCTAGAGAAAGTGAATGCAAGGGGATGGACACTCTCCTACAGCCTCTGGAGGGAACACCCCTCGACACACTGATTTTGGCCTAGTGACCCTGATTTCAGACCTCTGACCTCCAAGCTATAGGGGAATAAAGGTGTGTTGTTTTAAGTCACTGAGGTAATAATTATTTGATGCAGCAGCAATATAAAACTGATATACTTATGCCCAAATAAAGAAAATCCAGAACAAGAGTAGTCGTTTTGGGAGAGAAGTTAAGGGCACCTGAAATTTAACGGGCCAGGCTCTGCGTTGGTTACTTTACGCGGATTAGGTCTCAACCTCACAACAATCATGTGAGAAAGGGGATCTCATCATCACAGTCACCATCATCGTCATCACTATCTTCATCACCAAAATCATTATGTGCATCATCACCATCACCATCATTTCAGTTTTAAAGATGAAAGTAAATTACAGGAAAGGTTAAGTAATGTCCTCCAAATCACCCACCTGGTAAGTAGCAGAGTTTGAACCCATGTCTGCTTGACTCATAAGTACAATTTCCAAAAGGCACCTTCCACTTGACAAATTAACTGAATATCACTGTAGAAGGCTTTTGTATTGAGTTTAAAATTCTGCTCTAATTGGAGCATAACGGGTTACTGATTAATGACCTTTATGGCCTGAAAGCAGAGTGTCTGAAGCAACTACTCTTGAAGAGCTTTTTTTTATAGTAACCTGCAAAGAGCAGCCCATCCCACAAGTGAATGTGGTGGGTGGTCCCACAGACACTGTTCATACAGCCATAACACAGTTAAATGCCATTAATAATTCCCCATTCAATACAGTCGTGCCCCAAAGAAATTGTTTCTGCATCATCAACTCCTGGCAGCAACTTTGCTATATCTGAGCTGCCATTTCTCACAAATAATGGCCTTTTATCCCACTTGAAACTTGTCACCTGGAACAAATAAGGTCTTTACAAGTCCCAGAAAATGAGAGAATTCTCTCCACAAAGTATATTAGTTTTTACTCATTCCCTCCCCTGCCATAATAAGAGGGGTTAACCTACCAGAGAGGTCGAATTCACCTCACCCCAAAAAATGCAGTGAGGATTTGCACATATCATAAAGGAAAAATGGTTTGTATAAAAAAGTAAAATTTGGCATGCAGAAAAATTCTTCTAAAAACTAACAAACAAATAAATTTTATTTATTTATTATAAATAAAATTTGATAAAATTTACTTTATAATCTATAATTACATCAGTAAAATGATTTCATGCCACAGAGACTTACTCAGATATCACATTTCTACGTGGTAAGAAAGTCTCAGGATCTCTCACAAGTCCTGGGTCTGAGGAACTTTCCCTAAATCCCTCAAAATTTGTCTTTGTGGTATAAAGAGGTCAACATTCCCTAAACTGATCAATAGTTTAAAAGATATTGCAATAAAAAATAACAATAATGATGACACCTTATACTCAGCGATTCCCATATACCAGAGGATGTTTGAGAGCCTCACAGCCAGTAACTCTTTACTCCTCTCATGAGGAAGGATCTTTGTCATCCCTGTTTTGCAGATGAGGAAACTGAGACACAAAGCTGGTATGAGGTGGAGCCAGAATTCCATGCTAAGCATATTAGGGCCACCGTCTTCTTAAGCACAATGTTTTAATGTCTCATCAAAATTCTAAAAGGCTTTTCAGAGAAACTCGAATATCTTACTTCATAATTTACACAAAAGTCTAAAGAGCCAGGAACAGCAAGGACTCACTCTACCCGATAACAACGACTAGTTATAAACCATGGTAATTGAACCAGTGGGCTGTTGGTGCGGGGATGGACCAGTGGGTCTCTGGAGCCAACGAGAGGCCAGAAGAGACCTGCACTATGCAGGAGGGAAGAAAGGAAAAGGAGTGAAGAGACACTCAGTAAATAACGCTGGGACTATTTGTTACCATACGGAGGTAAACGGAATTTAATCCCTATCTCTCACTGTACAAAAATCAACTCAAGGTAAATTGACTTCATGAAATGAAAGTCAATACAAACTATTCTGGAAAAAAAAATAGGAAATGTGTAGTAGGAACATATTTTTTAAGACAAAAACACCAATCAAAAATTGGAAAATTAATCTGAGAGTACCTATTCATCAAGAAAAACAGCAAAAAGGTGAAATATAAAAGCACAAATGGGAAGCAACTTACAGCGTCTGCAACCATATTACTGACAAAGAATTAGTATAAAGAATATATAATAAACTACAAAGAGAGAGAGAGGAAGAAGATAAACAATCCAATAACAAATGGGCTAAAGGCATTGGTAGCCATTTCACAGAATTAAATTTTTCTTTTTCAAATCACTGAATTCCATTTCTCTACTAGATCATTCCTAACAGCATACGGCTGAGAGGTTATCGCACCCATCTTACCCTCTCATCTCAAATCCTTCCTTAGCTCCGCTTTCCCCCTCAGCCTTCTATTCTCACCTCCTAAGCAGGTGATTTTCCCCACCGCGCCACCAAAACAGCTCTTATACACGTCACCATGGCCCACATGTCACCCCAGCATGATATGAATATTCGACGCTACTGATTATGCCCGGTCGCCCTCTGATCAGAAGGCTCTTGAGGCTCCTACTCAGATTCCTTTGAGGATTCCCTCTCGTTTCCTGAAGGTTGAAGTGTCTCTGCACTCAGTCTGGGATCTTTTCCCTATTTATACTCACTCCCTTGATGATCACCCATCCTGAAGGTTTTTAATGGTATCTCTAGGCTGGCATCTCCTAATGTCTCGTTCTAGCTCAGACCTCTCATCTGAACTCCAAACGTCTGTGCCCAATTGCATCCTCCCGTCTGCACTAGGATGTTGGGTTTGCTTCGCAGAGCGGACACGCCCCTAAGTGAGCCCTGGTCCTTCCCTTTCTGCCCTCCAACCTCTCCTCTCTCCAGCTTCCCCATCACCACAAGCAGCACCTGGAAGCAATCGTCCTTTCTCTGTCACCGCAAATCCCATTCATCAGAAAAACCTAACGCTCAACCGAAACACGACCCCCTTTCACCGCGTCGGTATCATCTCTCCTTAGCAGGACTGCAATGCCTGTTTGGTCTGCGAGCTCCACGCGATGGACAGGGAAATCTGGTCAGAACTCTGGTCACAGAATGTCACTCTGCTCCAGTAGCTCCCACTCTCTCTCTGTCCTCACCTCCTCCATCTGCACCTCCTTGGCCACCCTGTTTGCTCCCCACAGAGGCCTCCTTACCGTACTCGAAACACACCTGACACAACATTGCTGCGGGGCTTTGGAACTGCCTGTGTGCTCTGCCTGGGAAGTTCTTCCCCTGACATCTCCCTGACCCTCTCCCTCACCATCCCCAGGTTTTCACACAAATGTCCTCTCCTCAGCCCCCGATCTGAAACTCCACATCTCCCCTAAAATTACCCTTCACTGCTTCAGTTTTCCCCTGACACCAATTACCATCTAACTGGCTACACCGTCTATTTATCCTGTTCAGGCACAAGAAAGAAGCTACCGTAGGACACTGGGTTGCCTGTTTTGTTTGCTCTCTAGCTCCAGACCTAGAATCAATGGGCACAGTAGTTGCACAGATAATTATTTGTTGGATGGAAGAACAAACTACACACACCATCATGGATACATCTCAAAGCGATAATGTTGAGGAAAAAGCCAGTCCCAGAAGAACACCTCCTTTGTGATTCTAATTACATAAAGTTTAAGAGCATGCACATCTTAGCAAGATATTACTTAGGGCTACAAACACGTGTTGACACAACTACAAAGAAAAGCAAGGATTAACTAACATCAGATTCAGGAATGAGGTTCCCTCTGGGGGAGGGGCTGTGATTGGAGAGGAGCACACAGGGGAATTTTCAAGGACACCCTTCTGTTTCTTAACTTCGGCAGGGGTTCTACACACACACATTTTTTTAGTGTAAAAATTTTGTAGGGCTTCCGTGGTGGCACAGTGGTTGAGAGTCCGCCTGCCGATGCAGGGGACACAGGTTCGAGCCCTGGTCTGGGAAGATCCCACATGCCGCGGAGCAACTGGGCCCGTGAGCCACAACTACTGAGCCTGCGCACCCGGAGCCTGTGCTCCGCAACAAGAGAGGCCGCGATAGTGAGAGGACTGCGCACGGCGATGAAGAGTGGCCCCCGCTCGCCGCAACTGGAGAAAGCCCTCGCACAGAAACGAAGACCCAACACAGCCATAAATTAATTAATACTTAATTTAAAAATTCACAACATATGTTAATATTAAAAAAAATTTGTAAAAAGACCAGAAAAATCATTTAGAGCACACCAGACCACATCACCTCTTTGGAATCCAATATTCATAATACGGGATTTCAAATACGGTCCCGCCACTGATACAGTGCTCTGTTCTGCTTTATTGGCCATACTACAAACTCACTGCGCAGCAAAATCAGTTTACTTTTTCTTGCCCCACAGCCCAACTGGATGGCAAAACTCACCCCAAGAGACTGAGCTGTAACAGCCAAGGCAAGAAGCAGATGACCGTTATCTCTGATTTTGTATCCGCTGACAGGGCTTTGTACATGGCAGTGATGAAAAACGAAATCTTCTAATGCAGTACACAAACCATGGAATTTGACTTAGTAGCATGGGGGTTTGTATCAAGAGAGGAGAATGAATTACCAAAGGCTCTGTTAAGAGCGGGTGCTTCCTTTCTGCTGTGCCTCTCCTTTTCTCAAAAGCCAGTTCAGCTCTCCCTCCTGCCTGAGAGCAGCTGCCCTCACCGCCCACATACACGTGGGTCCTCACGGGCTCCCACAGCTGAATATGGCGTCATGAGGCAGAGACTCCGCTAAATGCTCTTCCTCAGGAAAATTACCTTTGGCTCCACGGACATCTGACACTTTGGCATGAACACTGAGAAGATTTGAGACAATATGTGAGAAAACGTGCAGTTATCTTTAAAACATTGTTATAACACTGGATAAGAATGCAAATGTTCAACGGTAGCCCTGTGAATAAAGCTCAAGGAAATAAACAAATTAGATGATAGACAGATGGATAGATAGCTAGACAGATAGACAGGTAGGTAGATAGTAGATAGATAAGCAAATAAGTAAATGGAGGAATGAGTTTGTTGTGCCTAACTAGTTATCCCCAGCAAATATTATACACCAGACACTCAATAAACATCTGTTGACTGAATGAATGAGGTAAAGGATGTCAAACAATGGGATAAACTATGGTCCAAAGTATCTAACATCTTGTCAGGTACGCCACACCTGAGTAGACACAATCAATCAGCCCTTCGGCCTCCACTGTGTGCGAAGCTCAGGTAAATAAGCATTTTGCTTCCTTCTCCTGGACACCAGGCCTTTGGGAAGCCAGCCTGTCCATGTTCCTGCTACATGGCAGGTGATTGATGAACAAACTGTTTTACTTAATCACTTATATATTTGGGGAGAGTATCTGCAAGAATCCATCCAATTTCATGTATCAGGAGGTTTCCCTTGACCTCTCAGGTACCAGAAAATGACCTACTCCAGGGAAAATCTGGTTGTATCAGGTGAGTCCAGTGTGGTGACACTAAGACCTCTATCTCTGGGTGACAAAGAGCCTTGGGTGGGTCAAAACCTTCCATAGCTTATCTACAGCCCTTTGTTCTCCAGAACCGTGCCATCCCATATGGCAGCCAACAGCTGCATGTGACTATTAAATTCAAACCCATGAAAGTTAAATAAAATTAGTAATTCCACTCCTTAGTCACTCTAACCACATTTCAAGTGCTTGGGAGTCACATCTGCCTAGTGGCTACGAGCCACTAAATGGCCTAATGTTCTAAAACATTTCCACCATCACAGAAAGTTGCTTTTAGACAGGGCTGGGCTGGCATGTGATCTGATGTTACAGTATCACCTATGATTATACCTCAAAGGATACTGAATATAAACCAGCTAGAAATCCTGAAAACTACAGAAAGAGCTAAAATGATTTAATAAGGATTATGGAACTTAAAAAGACATGAATCATAGTTTAGGAAGCAAAAATATAACTGAATCATGGGGGAAGGGAATGAGTAAATCCTCCAGTTAAAGATGAAGCAACACATTATACAAAGTATAAACGGATACAAGTGACGCTCTTTAGATCTACATAAATGCAAATGCAAATGCAAATGCATTGGTCAAGATATAAACTAGTCCATTTACAAACTAATTGGATTGTTAGGTGCACATTACTATCGGTAGCCTGAGGTAGCACTTCCAACTAATGGTAGTAATTGCTTTTAAATAACCTTCAGATGAGTACAGTCATCTCAATGCTCTATTTAACTCCCTTTTCTAGTGTAGAAATTATGCTATAGATCAGCCTAATGGGAACACACACCTGATATGCATACAAAGGACAACTGAAGAGTCAAGAAGTAAATTGTTTAAAAAAACAATGCTTTGGGGCTTCCCTGGTGGCGCAGTGGTTGCGCACCCTTCACATGCACGGTTCTGCAATTGTGAGCTTTGTGACCTGGAATCTGCCACTAAGCCTCACTGCATTTTCAAATTTCCATCTGCGAAGTGAAAGGGGTTGTGCGACTGTTTGGCATTTCTTTTCGTTCCTGGGGGCAGTAAATCAATGACCATGGCAGTGACAGAGATGGGAAGGAAGAGTGGCCGAGTTTTTCTCATCATCAAGCCAGCTCCTCCCATGCCGGGCCCAGACGGAGGCACCGACATCTTCCCAGTCACCTTCCCTAGACACCTTGGACCCAGGCTCCATCGTTCTGCTGACCCTGCCACTATCCTGTCCTCCCTGTTGCAACACCACGTACAACGCACACACACACACACACACACACACACACACACACACACACACACACACACCGTGCACACATTAGCAGACAGGTGAGTTCAAGAGCAAACCAAGAGGGCTGATGGGATGGAAGCGAGGGGAGGCGCAATCTCTGTCGTGAGCGTTAGTCTCTGCCTTCGCCGCTAACGTTGTGGTATGAGTCGCTAAAACCATGGTGAAATCTTGCTTGGCCATTGGATGTGCTTCTCGCTGTTTACCAAATTCTAAGTTAAAAGGACTGAGATTTCACGTATTCCCCACAGATGAAAACATCAAAAGAAAATGGGTATTAGCAAGAAAAGACTTGATGTGAATGCTGCAGGCATTTGGGAGCCTAAAAAAGGAGATGTGTTGTGTTCAAGGCACTTTAAGAAGACAGATTTTGACAGAAGTGCTCCAAATATTAAACTGAAACCTGGAGTCATACCTTCTAATTCCCCATCTCACTTATAGGGGAAAAGAGATTCACTGTAGGAAAAACTTCACCCTCAAGCCCTTCCAGTCACAAACCACAGTCACCACCTTGTTGGTGTGTCCTCATGTATGGAAGAATTCCAGTCCCAGTTCATTTTTGAGCATAGCTACAATGTAATGGACAGTCCAAAGAAACTTAAGCATAAATTAGATCAAGTGATCAGCGAGCTAGGGGATACCAAGAAAAGTCTGCGGAATGTTTTAGACGGAGAAAAATGTTTCCAAAAATCATTGAGGAAGACAGGGAATTAAAGGATGAATGTCTCATCTGCCAAGAAACAGCAAATAGACTGGAACTTTTCTGCTGGGAGTGATGTCAGGAGAGCATGAACTATATTTCATGAAATAATTTCATGTTATGTCCTACCTAAAATTGACATTGGTACAGCTTTTCAGAAAATGATTACCATCATTAAATAATACCCGTCAGGGCTTCCCTGGTGGCGCAGTGGTTAAGAGTCCGCCTGCCGATGCAGGGGACACGGGTTCATGCCCTGGTCCGGGAAGATCCCACATGCCGCGGAGCAGCTGGGCCCGTGAGCCATGGCTGCTGAGCCTCCGCGTCCGGAGCCTGTGCTCCACAACGGGAGAGGCCACAACAGTGAGAGGCCCGCGTACCACAAAAATAATAATAATAATAATAATAATAATATCCGTCAAAAAAAAAGAGCAAACCAAGATATTAATTAAAACATATAGCATTTATTTAGCGGTTGCCATGTGCTAAGTACTGTACTAAACACTTTCATATTTTAACTCACTTAATCCTTACCACCTACATCCCTAGGAAGGAGGTGTTTTTATCCCCATTTTATATACAAGGAAATTAAGGCACAGAAAGGTCGGTCAAAGGTCATACAGTTTGTTTGTCTTGGAGCCAGAAGTGCAACCCAGGCCATGTAGTTTGCAAGCCTATGCAATTAATTTCTAGAATATTCTACAGCTCTGTGAAGAAAGTTATCAACCAAGTGGCAATATATACATATTTTACTATACTGCATATACAAGAGATCATGTCAATCAAAATCTATGGTTGATTACCTGCAAAAAATGGTTGTAGTAAATTTTCCCGCCCCTCTGTACTTGGCCTTTGCAATGTGGCTGCAGCTCCTCGCATGAAGAAATGTCTTCTTCTCAACTCCTTGAATCTGGGCTTGGCCATGTGACTTGCTTTAACCAATGGGATATTTACAAACATGATGCAAGCAAAGGCCTGAAAAGTGCCTGTGCACTGGAACTTGCTGGAGACATGGGCTGACCACCACGTGGGCAAGCTAGGCTAGGCCCCTGGGAGCTAAGAAACACAAATAGAGGCCCAGCCAACCCAGCCATCCCAACAGAAGCCCTTTAAATGGGTGGTTTGAGAATGATCTGCAACGTTCTCTTCCTTTGCCTTCTAATGCCTGGTCTTTTCGCTGATTTGTTCACCAAGGCATGGCTGAACCCTCCCTATATGCCCGACATTGTTTTGTGTGCAGGACATTGTTTTGGTGTGTCTCCCAAAAAGGTATGTTCAAGGTCTAATCCCCAGTACCTATTAATGTGAACTTATTTGGAAACAGATATAACCAACGTTCCAGAGATGCAGAGACAGACACACCAGGAGAATATCACGTGATGACAGAGGCAGAGAATGGAGTGATGCAGCCATAAACCAAGGGTTGCTGGCAGCCACCAGGATTTGGGATTGAGGGCTGGAACAGACCCCCCTCAGAGCATCCAGATGGAACTAACCCTGTCAACACCTCAATTTCAGACTTCTGGCCACCAGAACTCTGGAACTATCAATATCTTTCGTTTTAAGGCACTCAGCTTGTGGTACTTTGTCATAGCAGCCTAGGAAATTAATATGTATATATATTCTGGGAAACACAGAAAAAGAACCCGGGGAAGAAAGAAAGATCACAAAATAAGAAACTGAAACTGAGATACAGATTGGAGGAGGTGCAGTAACTTCTGGCATAAAAGTGAATGAATCCCTTTGCTAACACCTATCCTTCTCTGGGGCCCACTGTGGCTTTGCAGTCAGCTGCCTGCTTGCCTGAGGACCAGAAGAGCCACCCTGGAAACCTTGGGAGAGCAAGGTGCTAACCCAGCTCCTAAGGGAGCCTTTACATCCCAAGTGGGCTTGTCTTTCTTCCAGCCAAGACATGCCTGGCAGAAATTCAGGAGAAACAGGCTTCTTCAGAAGGCTTGGTCAAGACACGCTCCTACTCTAGCAGGTGGTGTTAAGGCAGACATCCGATCTGTAGCTCTTCATCTGGCCTGTACCCAAACATGCATCCTAGTTAATAAATTACTCCCACAGAACCCCAATGCACTTGTGATGATCCTCAGAGCAGAGGGGTCTAGACTACACAGGGCTGCCTGACAGGAGTACTGGGGTGTGGACTGGGGGGATAGGACCATGTGGGAGGGAGAAATCACAACAGCTCCTTCCCAGCCCAGATCTCTGTCTTTGCCCCATCCCACCTCCGGGGTGTTGAGTCCTTCTGGAACGAGAACTAATCGCCCAGGTGGACCCCAGTTTCCACACCCCTCAGACTTTCAAACTGTTTCTTATTCTAATTCCATGCTGAGTGTCCCATCTCACCTTCCACCACTCCTCAAAACCCCAACAATCAAGACCCCTCACTATTCCCTAATTCTTCCAACATCATGGCAGCCTTGCAGCCAACTCTACTCTGGGTGCCTCACAGCACTTTGGAGTCTATCTCTGTTGGTTGACATCTTTTTGAAGCCGGAAGAAAATAACCAGCTGAACAACCTCTAAAGTGTGTGTGTGTCTCCCCTATGCCTTTCCAGTCACTGACAAATACCCATGACACTGAGAAAAGCTGGCTCACCTGTCTCACCTCTTCTAGTTGGGGGACTCCAGGGAGCGTTCTTAAAGATTAATACTCACGTCAACAGGGAGCTGTGCAGCTAAGACCCTTCGGTGCTGCATTCAGCACAGATCTGGTCCAGTTCTCAGACTGCTGGCCTGGCTGTTGGCCTGGTGGACCCCACAGCCCTTGCTATACAAGCAGGAGAACCAGCTACGTCCGACACAAATACGAGGGGTCGAAGTTTGCCTACAGCCACTTCCCCATCTCTGAGATGCTCCCTGGTGGCAGTCAAGGCACAGCACGAGGTGGTGCCTATGCTTTCAGCACCACCTTCCCCCCTCCCCCCTCCATCTCAGCATCGAAGTCCGGCCGTCACCCTCCACACCCCAAAGGAGGGAGGTGGTGAGAGGCAGAATTCACCTCCCCGATCCCCACTTAGAATCAGGCACTGCATCTGATCCTTTCACACCCATTGATTCCACTGGTCCTTGCCTCAATCCTGCTCCAAGTACTACAAGATTATTCCCATCTTTTAAGATAAGGAAACTGAGGCTGAGAGAGGCACTGTAACCTGCACAAAAATCCATGCATCATATAGAGCAGAATTCGGATTTGCTTCCTAGCCAGCCCTGCCCCAGAGACAATGCTCTTTCAACCGGACCATAGAGGCCTCAGCTGCAGGCCATTCAGAGTTAAAAGTTGCCACTTACATTCAAAGCCAATCAGCAGTGTCACTGTTTTGCCATAGTCAGGCAGGCAAGAGCCAGACAAATCACTGCAGCTATGGCATTCTGCTGCAGAGATTCTCTGTGATCCCCCTCCGTCCCCACTGGCCAATGTCTTGCCTGGCTGTCCTCTGTTCCTGGAGTTTCATGAGACTCCCACACAGGGTCTCTGGGGAACAGCACACCAACTGTACCCATGACAGCACCCAGCCCTCCTGCATCTCCACCTGCTGTGCCCAACCCCCAAACTGACCTTCCTATCTACCCGTTCATCCTCCCAGCTGGTGCTCTGGCTTATTTAGAACAGGGTTCCCCAAGACACCTTGCTGAGCGCCAACTCAGTCTCACAACCCCGGTGAGTGTGTGTGCAGAGAGAGGGAGACAGAAAGACAGATAGTCAGATAGACTGTGGAGCTTTGGGCTGGGCTTCAAAATGGATGGAAGGACTTATTTACAATCTTGAGATTCCTGGACCACAGCTTGGTACTCAGCTCCTCCCCATTCCCTGCTACGATGCAGGAATCACTGCTGAATTTCTACCTTCCTAGCTTCAATGCCTCCATCCCATCTGTAACCTGCCAACTCCTATGGAACAAGCTGGTCTGGTATCTGAATTGAGTGGAACCTGGATGGGGGCTTGAAAATTGTTAGTGAATGACTCCAAATCAAGTCTTAGGCTTTGTCTATGCTCTTTCCAGGTAGTGGGCTTTATCATCCATTACTCTATGCGACTTTGCTAAACCCAAGTACAGCTCCGGGATGCTCCAAACCCACCAGCTTGGAACCGGCATTATTTTCTTATTTGCCACTGTAACAAATCACCACATACTTCGTGGCTTTAAATAACACAGATTT